ATGTGCACGTCGTCCGGCTGCGAGGCGAAGAGGGTCTGATGGGGAACACTGATAGTCAGCGACCAGTTACTCTTGACTAGAGAGAGGAGAGCCCCGGTGCCGGCCTTGTCCTGCGTGAGTTTGTCGTAGAGGTCCATGAACGTTGAGCCGCGTAGGGTGGTTGTGAAGGTTTCGATGCCCGACTCCAGCGGACGGGACAGGAAGGTCATCGGGTCTCCAAATTTCGGGGACTTGCGGGCAAGCGTCTGCCACAGACGCCATTCACGGAGGAGAAGGTCCTCCCAATCCGACGAGAGGAACGGTGGGGGGTGGTCGTTGGAGCCGAAGACCGCCCCGGAGCGTGAAAAGCCGACATCAACCAGACAGATGTCTTGGGGGTCTAGATCAATCAAGCACTCTCGGTCGTCCTCCATCACAGTGATCTCGGAGACCGTGGTCGGGTCGCTGTCGGGATAGAACTTGATGTCTGTGACTTCTGCGTGGTAGCGGAAGTCTACCTTTTCGTTCTTCAGATACCGTGTGATGGGAAGGACAATCGATTCGAAGAGGTTGAATCGCGTATGAATGGATTTCTCGACATCGTTCAGAGTCTGAATGTCTTCAAGGTATTTTCGAAGATGGCGTCGAAATTCGACAGCGCTGTGCCACGGCTGGAATGCGAACCTGAGTGAGGAGTTAGAAGCCATTTATGAGTATGTGGTTCAAACCCCGCAAAACCATGCTTACGTGGTGGACCATAAGGACCAGAACCCCGTGTCAAAGAATGGTTTCTCAAAGACTTCCTCGATTCTTTTCGCGTGCAGCGCTCGTTCAGGGTTCACGATGAACTTGATCAGCTCCATCCGATCCTTCAGACCCAGCTGAATGCCCTTCGTAGACACCGCTTCAGTGCCCGAGGGATCCAAGCTCACAGCTCGGGGAACAGGGTGCGGCAGTCCTCTGTGTGGCAGTTGACATCGAAACTCACGCACATCATCCGCCAGCGATTTACCATTATGCTGGATATCCGGTACCAGATCCAGGAGCTCCTTCACACACTCCCCATGGAGGTAGGGAAGGCAGTAGAAGGGAAGAGAATAGCCGTCTTCCGCGTTCCCGGAAACGATCATTTCACCTCCCACGTCGGAATGGAGGTCGAAAATATGAATATGGGCACCGGGAATGCCTCCTTTCCTGATAAGGTAGACTGCTGCGACTAGAGAGGCCAATCCATGGCCGACCAGCCATGCTTGGATGTTGCTTGGGTCTTGTCTGCACAGGTCGGAATTGCGCTCCATCGTCAGAGTGTAGAATTCGAGGACAAATATGGTGGTGTCGTAATCCTGTCGTAGAGTTCAAGTCGCTCTTACCTATTTATGTCAATGGCTGAGCAGGGGTGCTGCTCATTCACTGAATATCCCCTCAAATCTGCTGATAGTCTTACGATCCTCGCCACAGGCATGAATCATATGCCGACTTGTTCCGAGGTTGTGTTGTGCAACCATAGTGCGGACGAGGCCTGCCTTACTGGATTGCACAGGGTGAGTGGGCTGATGCTGACATTGAGTTTGACAGAGCTGAGTCGAACCAGACTTTTGTACATCGGAGAAGCGAGAGCTGCGAGATGCATTATATCATAGGCAGGGAGCTTCTTTGTTCGGGGTTCGTATCGTCGGAGCCGACTTTTGACAGGGACTGAAACCACGGATATCAGCGGGTATTCGTGGCTGAGGAAGTCATACAATTATAACCGCGTCTAATAGTCTCCCTATCTATGAGCTTGATCTTGAAATCATCTCGCTTTCATTCCGCTGTGTATTGGCAGCTGACTATACACGATACAATGCAGCCAGACGACTCCAGTTCTAATGAGGACCCCACTTCGACCAGGAGTTCCTGGTGTGGACAACCTGCACAAGTATAGATTTACACCTATCATCCTCATACATACGTACGACTGTGCTAATCTTGGGTTGACTATGCAACAGCTAATCTACGCCGGGCTCTCAGAACCAGCGACTGACGAGCAAGGAAGATTGATTGTCGCGGTCGCTATCCGCAACGCGACGCAGCTGATCGACTTTTTCACCCACCACTTCCGTGACGCTGTGGAAGGCCCTCAGATACCATACCATGCGATTAGGGAACTGCTTGCCCATCTTCGTGGGTACAGCGAGAAGCACCAGGAGAAGTTCATCGCGGTCGGCCTCCCGGAAGGCCTCGTACAGAAATGCCCTGGATTGTGCTCCCGGCTCTGGCAAGACCTGGATATTCTGCCATTGGTGCTAAAGTACAAGGATCATTCCCGACAGCCGAATGAACAAGGAAATCTATCAATCTTCGCGAGTTGGAAGGAGAAGACGGTGGATGAACAGGCCGATTCCATGGCTAGGAAGTGCTTGAGGTATGTGCTTTGCGTGTCTTTAAGCCAGGAAAGGCGAACGAAGCACTAACGGTATGGACGACTAACACAGGTCATTTGGCGTTGGGCATCTGATTCACAACCAAATTCATTTCAATGGAATGGTGGACGTCGATAGGAGCTTCTGTATACGATTTGCGGAGGCGGAAGGTTACCAGCGGACGGTGAGACCGGAGTTGTGGGCACTGGTCCAGAGACTGGCCAAGGAACTGGTCGAGAGAAAAGTGAAGATTGCGTTCTTCAGTATGACGTGTCAAGGGAAGCCTGATGTGCATACCAGGCATGCATTGTTGCGACTGTGCCATGTATTGGGGGTGGATATCCGGTGGTGAGTATGCATTTCCTTAGGCGGAGATAAGACAGAATCACCGACGGTGCAGGTATGTCCCGAAACCACGTCCGAATATCCTCCAATTGATTCGAAAAATGGAAGACCTCATGGAGGGCCTAGCAGGGCCAGAGGTCCGCTTGGATACAGACGAGCAGCTCCAGATCATGGAATTCGCTTACGAAAATGCCCGACGGTATTGGCTCGAAGAAAATGGGCCCCTGCGGTCGCGCGAACAGGGCGGCGCGGATGTCGTCGTTGTCGACAGTCCTCCGTTGTTGACGCTGGCTCACCTGGCGAAGCAACATGACCCCCATCGACCCGTCGTGTTTGAGAACCGATTGCACGCCCCACCGGATGTGCTGCGACAGCATTCCACCCTTCCTCAGGCAATTGCATGGCGATTTGTGCAGACTAAGCTGGAGCATGTTGACACCTTGGTCACGACCCTACCCCGGGAACTCGCGCCGTCCATTATGCCGGAGGCGAATGTTGGCTATATATCACCTTCTATAGACCAGTTAGTGCCTAGCTCGTGTCTATTGCTTTTCTATGCCTACATCCTTTACAGATAGACATTCTAACACCAAGGTAGACTCGACGGCTTGAACAAGCCCATGGTCGCTGCCGACATGACCTTCTACGGCCAAGAACTCAACTCATTATGTAGAACCTTCGGAACGCCCGTTGTCCACTATCCCAGAGGTAAAGCAGCCACATGCAGCAATTTGTATAATGTTCGTGATCGATTAGCGCTAACCAAGGCTGTGACCGACACAGAACAGTACATCCTAAGTCTGTCGCAACTCCGTCCCGGAGACGGAACCCTCGCTCTCTTAGATGCCTACGCCGCGTTCTGCACCATATCTTTGGCGGACGACCCTAAGCTCCTCCTTCCTAAGCTGCTGATCTGCCACCACGGCCCCGCCAATAGATCCCAGAGCTCTCCGCAGTACGAGTGTATCGTCTCCCACGTCCAGTCCAAGATGAAACGATTCGCGTCGCGGATCTGCATCGTCCAAATCAGTCCCCAGGACCAGATGTGGAATACCTTACTCTCAAACGCTCGGGTGGTGGTTCAGCTGTCGCTCTGCCAAGGCATCCCGGAGGTCCTGCTATGGGCTTTGCAAAAGCAGAAGCCGGTGGTCACCACCGGCCCGGGAGGGAGTTTCTTTGCCGCGCATGAGGAGTTGAAGGAGCGGATATTCTTGGTGGATGATGGCGCGAACAAGACGGACGCGGTCGCTCAGCATTTGTTTGGCTTATTTAGCACTGAGGATACTGGGGACCATGCGACCTCGAGCGCACGGCAGGATTTGCCTGAGAGGTTCACTACGGTGGGCAATGCGGCGTGCTGGCTGTTTCTGGCTTCTTATCTGTCCCGGGAGACGGCGTTCCGGCTGAATGGGGAGGATGTTGCTACGCTTGCGAGGCAGGTTGGTTTGACTTTGTAGGAGCTCTTCGTTGGATAGGTATATTTGAGAGAAACATATTGCTCAAATGCGAGACAAAACGCTATTAGGAGAGAATCAAACAATTTTCGAAGCTTGGAGCTTGGAGCTTGGAGCTTGGAACTTGGAACTCGGAGCTACAAGAACCTCTCGTATCCGGAATAACCATATCTATTCTTACTGATACACGCTAAGCGAGGGCTCTCATGATTACGCGGATCCGATCTTCTGTGACAGGGATGACAAAATGGGTCTGGACTCTTCTATTCGGGTCGATGATGGAACCGAGTCTCGGCTCCGAGATGTCAACTAGGTAGAGATTAGGTAGATGTAGGACGAACCACAGTTTTTTCGCTGAGATGACGTCTAGGGGCATGATACAACACGAGTTATCTGTGGGACCCCCACAGCTCAATCAACCAGGATCACCGGATGGGTAAGTACAGTAGCCATCGTAGCTGAGCTGAGAGCCTGAGTAGATCCGGTGCGAAGTCTCGGCCGAGTGACCCCAAGAAGTCAGCCCTAACCTCCGCTTAATGCTACCGGGCTAGGCAGTTGTTTTCCATCGAATTGATTGAGCCTGGACTACTTACTCGTCTCTTAACGTACTGGACAGGTTCTCCTGCACCTTACTTACTACCAGAATCACTCACCTTGCTTCTGCTCTATGAAGACTAGACAAGGTGGACTCTGAGATAACCCTGCTCTCTCCCGTTCCGTGTGAGAATGAACTACATCCCCGCCACCACTTCCTCCTAGCCTAAGCATCGTAGTGTAGAGAAAACAAGCTGCAAATTGCCAGCAAAACTAAAGTACTATCCTACAAACACCATCCTACGCCACCACAAAGAAAGCCCATGACCCCAAACCACCCAAATTCAAACAACACCATCCCCCTCCACGGACCCAATGCGCCCCCTCAACAGCCGGACACTCCTCTCCATCTCCGCTCTCTCCCCCTCATTCAGTTCCACTGCCCCCGTCCGCACGACCCCTTCCCTTCCCAATACCGCCGGCAAACTAAAACAGCACCCGAACTCCGCCTGGAGATGACTCACCGCGTGGACGCTCTGTTTATCATCTAGAATAGCCGCGCAGAGCCGAGCGATCACCGCCGCGATGCCATATTCCGTCGACCCCTTGGAATGAACGATGGCCTCGGACCGCCGCTTGCACTCGTCGGCGAGAAGCGTCGGGTGATGGGTGCTGAGGAGCGTTGGGTGGAGGGATTTGCCGTTGATTGTGGCGGTGGACCAGGTCGCGAGTTGGGAGGGGCCGTGGACGCCGACGACGTTGAGGTTGATAGAGGATGCGGAGGTCTGCTTATCTTTCAGTAAGTGCAATGCGACTGCTGCTGAGGACGGTAGTGAAGGACCTACCCTCATCTCGGCCGCCACCAAGGCCCGCAACCGCACGCCATCAAGCTCCGTCCCCGTCCCCAGCACCTGCCCCGCCGGCAGCCCCGCCATCTTCTTCACCAGGGAGGTCAACAAATCCACCGGGTTCGACACCACTAAGAGCACCGCATCCCGACGGATGGGCTGCATGGCCGCGACGATGCTCCGCACGATCGACACTTTGCGGTAGAGGTGCTGCATGCTTGTTTCTCCTTCCGCGCCCAATCACCCGATATCAGTACATGTAAATTTTGCTTCTGCGCGATAGGGCCAGGGTTTGGGTAGGGACATACCGATGGTATACTTCGATCCCGCGGTGATGACGATGACATCGCACTCCGCGGCGACTTCGTGGTGCGTCGCGGCGCGCACGGTGGCCCCGGCCCCACCCCCCGGGGATTCGGGGTCTGCAACAACAGCGGCGACGTCGGCCAGGTCGCGGACTTGGCCGTCGCGGCGGTCGAGCTTAACGTCGACGAGCCATAGCTCGCGTGCGACGTGTTGTAAGAGCAGGGCGTAGGCGGCGGCGGCGCCGACGGGGCCGACGCCGATTATGCCGATGCGGGATGTCATATTTCTGGAGTGTGTATTGGGTATAGTCAGTGTGAGCTGTATATAGGAGGCGAGTTAGGGTTATTTGCGCGAGGATATGGGATGGATGTCTTTGGTGTTATATACACGTATTCAGATCCGAGGTGGCCCTGAGTGATATGGATTGAATTGTGTGGGGATGGCGGACTCGAGGGATAACATGTGAAATTGATACAGCTCTTTCGGCCGGGAGATGCTGAGTTGCTAATTGCAGGATCGCGATCTCCGAGGGAGTACTGGGGATTTACCATGGGTGTTGGGAAGTATGCGTGGACAAAGAACGCTTCCCCGCAGGGTGGGTTAGGGTTGCACCTCCGCGCCATACAGGATCGCCACTTCCAGTATTTACCTTGGGCTAGGTTGCACGGCGATCATACCACCCTCGTATTCGACTGATTCCTGGGAGTATAGGGTGATGCATTACATGTGAAAGAGCTTGAGTTTTGTTGTATGGTTGTAAGGATGGGAGTCTGGGTTGCTGTACTTGCTTACTGTATGGTGGGGAGTTAAATAGTCGCATATTCGCGGAGGTCTTGTTCGCTTACGCGCAAGGTTACAGGAAAGACTAGGCTCAAATTATGAGTAACTACACAATGGGCAGCAGTGACCACCCCCTTGTCCTCGAGCTGCACCAGCTCACCCGGCGCGACGTGGCCCTCGTGGGCGGGAAGAACTCGTCGCTGGGGGAGATGCTCAGCCAGCTAGGCAGCGCGGGCATCCCCGTGCCCCCGGGCTTCGCTACCACCGCCGACGCCTACTGGCACTACATCGACGCCAACCACCTCCGCGAGAAGATCGCTGCCCTCGTGGCCGACTGGCAGTCCCGCCGCAGCACCCTCGTTGAGACCGGCCACGCCGTGCGCAGCCTCTTCCTGCACGGCCGGTGGCCGCAAGAAGAAGAGGAGGCCATTCGCACAGCATACCGCGAGCTGTCTCTTTGCGCCGGCACTGCTGACAACAATCTCAACGTGGCCGTGCGCTCCAGTGCCACGGCAGAGGATCTCCCCGACGCCAGCTTCGCCGGCCAGCAGGAGACCTACCTCAATGTCTGTGGCGCGGAGGCGGTCCTCGATGCGTGTCGACGGTGCTTCGCCTCGTTGTTCACTGATCGCGCCATCAGCTACCGCCAGGCCAAAGGGTTCGACCACCTTGGCATTGCGCTGTCGGTGGGTGTGCAGCAGATGGTGCGGTCGGATGCCCCCGGCGGCGGGTCCGGGGTGATGTTCACGATTGACACGGAGTCCGGGTTCGATCAGGTCGTCTTGATCAATGCTGCGTGGGGGCTGGGCGAGAATGTCGTGCAGGGCGCGGTGAACCCGGATGAATACCAAATCTTCAAGCCCCTGCTCCAGGACCCCCAGCTGCGGCCGATCGTCAAGAAAGACCGCGGCAGCAAGGAGGTCAAAATGGTGTACGGCGATACCACCACCCCGACGCGCAACGTCCCGACCTCCAAGGCGGAGCGCGACGCCTGGGTCCTGACGGACACGGAGATCCTGACCCTGGCCCGGTGGGCGTGCATCGTCGAGAAGCACTACGGCTGTCCGATGGACCTCGAGTGGGCGCGCGACGGGACGACCCAGCAGCTGTGGATCGTGCAGGCGCGGCCCGAGACGGTGCATTCGCAGCGCCACGACGCGGCCAGCAGCTTCACCACGTATCACGTCCAGAAGCGAGAACGCGTGCTGGCGAAAGGCGTGTCCGTGGGCGATGCCGCCGTCTCCGGCCGGGTGTGTCTCATCGAGACGGCGCAGGATATCGACCGGTTCGTGCCGGGCTCGATCCTGGTCACCCGGGCCACGGATCCGGACTGGGTGCCCATTATGAAGCAGGCCAAAGCCCTTATCACGGACCACGGCGGGCGCACCTCGCACGCGGCCATCGTCAGTCGCGAACTGGGCCTCCCCGCCGTCGTGGGCGTCAGCACGGCGACCTACATCCTGCACACGGGACAGGACGTGACCGTGTCCTGCGCCGAGGGGGACGTGGGGTTCATCTACGAGGGGAGCGCCGACATCTCGACGCAGGTGGTCGACCTCGCCTCGCTGCCGCCGAGTCGCCACACGCAGGTGATGGTCAATCTGGCCAACCCGGCGGCGGCGTACCGGTGGTGGCGGCTCCCCGTCGACGGGATCGGGCTGGCGCGCATGGAGTTCGTGGTGGCCAACACGATCCAGATCCACCCGATGGCCCTGGTGCACTTCGACCAGCTCGCAAACCCAGAGACCAAGAAGACGATCGCGCAGCTCACCGTCGGGTACGCGCACAACAAGCCCGACTACTTCGTGGACAAGCTGGCGCAGGCCTTCGCCGCGCTGTGCGCCGTCTTCCACCCGCGGCCGGCCATCATCCGCATGAGCGACTTCAAGACCAACGAGTACGCCAGCCTGATCGGCGGCGACGAGTTCGAGCCCCACGAGGAGAACCCCATGCTCGGGTTCCGCGGCGCCTCGCGGTACTACTCCCCGCGCTACCGCGAGGGGTTCGCGCTCGAGTGCCGCGCCATCCAGCGGTTGCGCGAGACGATGGGGTTCGCCAACGCCATCGTCATGATCCCCTTCTGCCGCACCGTGCACGAGGCCGAGAAGGTGCTAGCCGTCATGGCGGAGAACGGGCTCGCGCGCGGCGAGGCCGGCCTGCAGGTGTACATGATGTGCGAGATTCCGGCGAACGTGATCCGCGCGGCCGAGTTCACCCGCTACTTCGATGGGTTCTCCATCGGATCTAACGATCTGACGCAGTTGACGCTGGGCGTGGATCGGGACTCTGGCGAGCTGGCGGATCTGTTTGATGAGCAGGATGAGGCCGTGCTCTGGATGATTCGCCGCGCGATCCACGTGGCGCGCCAGCAGGGGTGCAAGATCGGGATCTGTGGGCAGGGGCCCAGCGATCATCCGGAGTTTGCTCGGTTTCTGGTTGAAGCCGGGATTACCTCGATTTCCGTCACGCCGGATAGTTTCTTTGCCGTGAAGAAGAGGGTTGTGGCTTGTGAGGAGGAGATGGATGGGGGTGGTAGTAGGGCTAAGGTGGTGCAGGAGCAGTGAGCTTTCGCCTGCGGAGTTTGCTATTCTTATGCTATGTGTCATACAAATGTCAATCATTTAGGCCCTGGTCCCGGTTAAACGTACAATCCCTTGCTGGGTAATCATAGAGATGACAGAATTCAGCTGAGCTGAACTGGTTAGGGAGATTCAATGTGGGAGAGAGCGCGTAGTAGCCATGGCGGTGAATTTAGGGCTTCTTCCAATTCACCCTACCATGTGATAAAGGGTAGATTGCCAACCTTCTTACTGTGAGATATAGGCTTCCATTGATCAGTGCATAGAAAAGAATATCCTTTATTCAAGGGCTGCCTGCTTTCAGTTCCGTTGTCTTCTTCACCACCTTCCTTCTCTCAACATATAAACCCCCTCCCAGCCTTCTTTCTCTTCCTCTTCCTCCATCCTCCATCACCCACCCCTTCCATCCAAGATCCACTCTTCGCTCCTTCCCTCAATCCACTCCCTCTATAGGTGTGACTCTACTATCAAGATTCGAATCCTTCATCACATTTGCACAATTATCATTGCATTGCCTATCTCGATCCTCATATTCTTCGCCCTTTGTTTCAATTTCAAGTCCATCGATGTCATTATCATTAGTACTATCTTGATTACTACCACCATCACCATCACCAGCCAAGCAAGATCTATCTACGCTCCAGATGTGACCATTGCTCAAGCAGGCGACCCACAGATCACCCCCTCTATCATCTCCTCTCCCACCACTACCATCGGTAGCAGTCTATCCCTAGCTGCAGCGAGACTACCTCCTTCATCTGGTCTGTCTATCAACAGAGAGGCCAGAATCCCCTTGTCTCCGCCGTCGTGAACGTACCTGCGCATGCCGCTGATGCTACTTCTACTGCTGCTATCCTCCCCCTGCGGACCGTCACCTAGGCCCGGGGAAGTCGTGTGCACCAATTTGCCATGGCGAACATTGTGGCACCCCTCGCGCTTTTCGGTCTTCCCCCCACTGTTTCTGTACCTCCCCCGCCTCCTGCGGACACACCTTGCAGTTCCTGTGGCAGCACAGCGACGGCTCCATCAAAGCCTCGCTAGTTCTAGTCTGTATGTTTCCACTGTCTATCCCCATCCCGGTGCCAGAAACCCGTCCATTTCATCATCATTTCCTGTTTTCTGGTTGATGAAGCTAATCGCAGGCTCATCCTAGTGGACATTTCATTCACCGCTCATCGACACAGGGGAGAAGCTGACTCGGACAAGCATCAGCCCATACACATCGTATGAGACGCGAATGACCGCTAGTTCCGGCATGAAACGTGTCCAGCTCGAGGGGAATGTCAACTGGTCGATATGCTATGGGGACGGAGGCCAGGCCCCCACTCATATGGTAGCCATTGAGGCCAGGACGAGAGGGACAAGGTCTGGGGTTTCGTCGTCTTCAACTGAGTTCCTGTGGGTAATTTCGGTAGGTGCATGCAGCTTCAGTCTTCTTGTCAACATTTTTCATTGGCAGAGCAGAAGCAGATTGCTTTGTGAATGGTCACAGACATCATCAGCCGCTAATATTTTGGACAGAACCTGCGGTGCATGTTGTGGGCGCGTCGGCATATCGCTCGGGCGGCACTGCATCTGAGTGGGATGGTACGGAGTGCAGTGCAGTGTAACAATCTGTTGCGCACTCCTACCAAAGAGCTATATCAAAAAGCCTGGTGCTGCTATTGGCCTACGTGATAGCCAGCAGGCTTTACCTCATACGGCTGTAGAGGCTGGGTGGAGTCAAAAGACGTACTGGAACCCGACATGAGGCTCTAGTTACAGATTGTTGACCGTCTTGCATATTTCGAAGAGCTTCAGTGCCTAGGAAAGATGTCTCGATCACACCAGATCCTGGAGATCGTGGAGTCCCCTTACTGAGCCATCAAATCGCCACGTCCACTGGCCTTTATCATTTCCGGAGATTGTCTCTTCAGACTGCCGATAAGCTCGCCTGCGGATCTCAGCGCTATATCTGACCTCCACCATCGTTCCTTCCCTACCTAGATACGGACACTCTCCACCTCATCCCTCCAATCTTGACCGCGAAGATACACGGCGCCCAGACTTGAATCAGCAAGGTCAAATTCGATTCCAGCCACGCCTCTTTTTCCCGTTGCCGAACCCAGAAACTCGGAGCCAGTGGGTGCACGCCCGAAATTGTCCCTTTCTCGAACTCGCGCGTATTCTGCTCATTTGTCGTCCACTACGCAGTCAGTTTCTTCGGAGATTCCAGGGAATACA